GAATTTAATTTTTGACCAAAATTTTTTAAATTTTGATTGTGCGGGATTTTCGAAAATTTAAAAAATACTATATTTAGTAAAATTTTAGGCAGGAATCCTAATTATTTTAGTTACTATTTTAGATTTTTTGGTTGCCTATTTATATATTATGGCACTTGGGCAGCAATTGGATACACAAATTTATCTCCTTAAAATTAACAATGAAAAAAAATATTTATTTTACCTGATTTTTTTCTACCATCTCATTAACACAAAAAAATATTAATATCTAAATGTAATTCATGTACTTAAGTGTTTCAAGCCATCAATCTTATTAAATAATTTTTTATTATTTTTATATCAAATCAATTTTAGTTGGAAAAACATCAAAATTAGTCTCGTTGATTCTGGATTTTCCACTTTTTGTCCCATTGAAATGTGTTTCCCAAAACCAGTCTCATAACTTTTCAAATTCAATCAAAACAAGGACATTTGTTGCCGGAACTATATTACCGGGAATGACACATCATGCCGGCGTGTCTTAATAATATTACAGTTGATCCATTTAACTCTTCCATGGCGAATGACATGGAAAAATATCAAAATCAGTTTTATAATTATAGAGATGTTTCAATATTAGATTGAGAAACTATTTTTTTCATTAAAAAAATTATTCTTATGATTAATATTTACACAATTTTTATTAATATTTCCGTAATATCGTAGCCGAAATATTTAAGCAATATATATAAATAGTAGTTATAAAGATATTTTTAATTATATCGTCATATCCATTTTCATTCTTATAAAATAATGATGTATCACAAAAAAAAAATTATTTATGTATAGTTATGCATTTGATATATATATATATATATATATATATATATATATATATATATATGTGTGTGTGTGTGTGTGTGTGTGTGTATATATTAAAAAAGTAAATGAAAGGATGATAGAGAAAAAAAAATAAAGAGGAAAATATATTCCAGAATAGGGGTGATGAATATAAAAATACCAAGACATTTGTAAAAATGTGGAAATTATTTCAGTTAATACAGAATAAAAAATACCTTTTTACCAAATAAATAATAAAAAAGTGTTAGAAGGAACTTATTTAAAAGGGTCTTGATTTCATATAAAATGTGCATTGGATGAAATATCCCTAATATCGTTTTATAAAATACACTTAATATCATGGTATTTTGATATGCATCACCATATTTGTAAAATACATTTTTTTTTTCATTTTTGTTTTTTCTATCATCCTTTCATTCATTCATTCATTCATTATTATTATTATTATTATTATTATTATTATTATTATTATTATTATTATTGTTATTATTATTGTATATTACAAATACATAACCATATACAATTTTTTTTTTGTTTTGTTATCATTATTTTATGAGAATAAAAATTGTCATGTTCATTTATTTGTAAAATTTGTAGCATTTGGAAAAAAAAAAATGATTACATAAATCTTATTTTTAACATTTTAAAATCGATATTTTTATTTTTATATTAGCCTAAATTTAATGTTTATAAAAAATAAAAATATCTTACCGAAAGATTAAATATTTAAGTTTATGATATTATTGAAAGATTAATAAAGATTGGGCAAATCTTAATAATGAGAATATTTTTTTTCTTGCAATTGTTAAAATGAAAAAAAAATGTTATTTTTAGTGGGATCAAGATTGAATATCTCTATATTTATGGGACTGATTTTGATATTTTCAATATCATTCGCCATGTAGGAGTTCAATGGTCCAACTGTCGGTAGGACGTGTCAGTTCTGGGCCGGAAAAGATAGTTTCGGCAACAATTGTCCTTATTTGATTGAATTTAAAAAGTTAGTAGACTGGTTTGCGAAACACCGTTCCAATGAAACCAAAATCGAAAATCCCAAAAACAACGGGACCAAAGTTAGAAGACCGGTTATGTATGAACACATGTTCGGGGAAAGGGTAAATAATAGTATTGAATTTCTCCACTTTGTACATATTATTATACAATTAGTACATGTACATGTACAAATTATTTTAATTATTTTTCGATAGTACATGTACAAATGCATTTTGAAAAAACAAAAGAAAAAGATAATACAAAATTTCAGCTGTCCTCTAGTGATACGATTACTTGCTCTTCCTTTACAGGCTCACAGTATAAGGCTGCATTATTTCCCATTATAGGATGCATGGGATGCAATTTTAACAGTAGACCATAAAGTAGTCTTGTTTTTTTAGTGCAATATTGAGAAGTCAAACAAAACAAGACTGCAATGTGAGATTGGTATTACATTCAATCTACAGGACTTTTTTAGCACCAATCAAAAAAAAAAAAAAATATGAAATGGCGAAAATCTATTGGTTATAAAACTGACATAATGATACCCTTAAAGGACCCCAACGATTTTAACATTTTCCAAGAAATTTGCAGCAGTGTACAACATACCTCACTCACTCTCTCTCTATCTCTCTCTCTCTCTCTCTCTATATATATATATATATATATATACTTCTCATCTTTCAAAATTTTAATTCAATGCAAACATTTTTTTTATTTAAATTGTTGCAATAGTAACTTGTTATATTTCCTTGCTTTAGTAAAAATATCGTATTTTTATTATAATAAATAAGTGAAAATGTGTTAAGAATTAGTTAATAAATGTTACATAACATGTGATTTAACTAAAATGATATCTATTTTGTGCTACATAAAAAAAAAATCTATTCAAAAGTGTTACTTATAAATTGTTACTTTTTCACATGGGTGTGCAAAATTTGACTAAAATCGAAAAAATCGATCGAGACCGACCGAACCGAAAATTTTGGTTCGACTTTTATCCGACTTGGTTGGTTATCAGTTTTAGTCGAATGAATTTTCGTTTATTTCGGTTAGTGTCGGTTTTTAGACATCAAATGTCCAAAATAATCAAACCGACCAAATACTATATATGTATATATATATTATATTACAATATTATAATAATATAACATATATTAATTATATTATATATATTTTAAAATGTATAATCGGTCGGTTTGACCAAACCGACCGAAATCGACCAAGAAGTTCAATCCGTTAATGTTCGGTTAAATTGGTAATTCGGTTGGTTTCAATTTTTAGCTTAAGATGGTTCTATTATTTCGGTTTTTTAAATTCAGTTCGGTCAGTCGACCGAACCGATTGATGCACACCCTTAAGTACAGTTGCTACGCATTCATAAAATACTACAAAAGGGTTACGTAAATATTACAGTATGTAAAGTGTTACAACTATATGTTACATACAATTTTTGTCCAAAATGTGTTACAATTTAGTGTTACTTAAAGTCACTTTTTTTTGTTTATATAATACTGTTGATTTGCGAAATTTGATCAACATAGGGTATTCAGAAAATTGTGTTTATATGTGATTTCTGTGAATTTTTTGTGTAATTTTTGGATTAAGAATTAAAGAAAATTGAAGGATTTGTTCTTTTATGTACTTGAAGGAAAAATGAGGATCAAGAGAGAAAGATAAGAAAATAATAATAGCCCCTCAGACCTCATTTTTTTCGTCCATCATAGGGGGTATATATAGTTATTTTAGGTGGGCCCGTTATTATTACAAGCTGTGTTGTTTTTTGGCCCTAAAAATATGATAAATAAAGCAATTGATTTAATATATATCCACGTGTAATATTTTAATAGGCGAGGCCAAATTGGGTATCAACAATAGGCCCCTGAATTAGCGAGTAAGGGACCGGATTGTGGTTACCCACTCCGCTTTTGTGTGCCGCGAGACGGTCGATGTAAAATCAGTTTTGATCTATAAAATTTATTTACCGATAAAGAAAACAAAAAAAAAAATCTTTTATTTTTCTTCAAAATTGGTGTTTTAAGACTTCAAATTAACTCTCAATTTAATGGTTTTATGAGTGTTGTTAATTGTAAGACTTAATTTAATAGTTTTATACATTTAGGACCCGAATTGAAAAAAAAAAATCTTTCAGTCCCATAATTGATAGTTTAACTATCATTCAGACCTTGTATTGAAAAAACTCTCTTATTTTATTAATTGATTCACAATCTCGGAGGGTTATTTCCACCATGAGATATTTATTTTTTATTCATTTTAGACACATTTTTGTAATCGTTATTTTATTTTATTTGTTTTATTTTATTTTAAAGCAATTTGTGTAGTCATTCATGACATGACATAATTTTATTTACGTTGAGAAGAAAATATGTGTTCCGAGGAAAAGGGTAAAAATATATATACAGTTTAGAAGAGTGTGTATTTTTTTTCCAATTTTATATAGTTATTTAATTTATTTTCCATGTACTATCATTAAGTTCAGAAGCTCACAGTGTGACTAAGAGATAAAGCTGCATTATTTCCCATTATAGTATGCATAGGATGCAACTTTAACAGTAGACCATATGCCAGTCTAGTTTTTTTAGTGCAATACTGAGAAGTCAAACAATGAAACAAAACAAGACAGCTGTAAGATAGCTGTAAGATCATTAATTGATGAATGTACAAACAAAATAAAATATTTCAATTTTTTTTTTTATTTTATTATTTAATGGACAGTGCCGTTGTGGGCTGGTAGCCACACATACTCAGCTCTTTTGGATAGTAGTAATAATTCAAATCTTGAAGTCTCAATTCCATCTCGAGAGTCTACATACTTTATTGGCGTAAGGTTTACGCCTACAGTAGAAAAGCTGTAATTAAAATCAACTACAATTGAAAATCAACACCCACAAAATTAAAAAAAAAAAAAAACTGAAACCATCCTATTCTTTTTTTTTTTTTTTTATTAATCGTTCTGAAACCATCCTATTCTCATTCCCAAATTTCTTCCTAAATTAACACCCACAAAATCAACTCCAATCATTCCCAAATTTCTTCCTATTCCTTTTATTTATTTTCCTTCCCTTTCTCTTCTTCCCCATCCTCTGCCGGAGCCACACGAACCCGGTGGCCTCGTTGTAGCCGACCTCGAGGATGTCGTCGAGCAGGAGCAGGCCGTGCAGGGAGGTGCATCCGCTCCAGGAGCTCCAGCGACTTCTGCTTGCAAACGGCATCGCCGATGTGGATCTCGTGTTCTCGCGGTGGGAGGCGATCTCGGAAACCATTCGACAGATTTTTTTTTTTTCGGATTTTGCCATTCACATACCAAAGTTAAAACTGTTGGGCCGGGCCTACCTTTCCCGGTTTTCCGGTTTTCTGGTTTTTGGACCGGTTATGACGGTTTGCAACCGGTTTTCGTTCCCAGCGGCTCAAACACACAAACCGGACCGGTACTAGGTCCGGTTCCCGGTTGAACCGGTCGAACTGTCCGATCCGGTCCGGTTTTCACAACATTGCTTTCTTCTCATCTGCGCTTCATCTTCTCCATTTCTCCTTGGAAATTTTTGCCCCGGTGGACTCTATATCTATAGACATCTTCCCTTCTATCCCTTTGGAAATTTCTGCCCCGTAGCCGGCTTCTTCTCCTTCGAAATTGCTGCCCCTGCCGGCTCCTTCCCCGGTGGAAATTGCTCCATCATCTTGGAAATTGCTGCCTCCATAGCAACGTCCTCCCCCTTTACTGCCCCACGACATTCACCAAATACTTGACTTCTTTCACCAAAATCCCAACGGATTTCCATGTCCCGTGGACTTTTTTACCGCTTTTTTTGGCTCTTCAATGGCTCCCAATGCACTGGGCATGGCCCCAATGGTTTGGGTTGACCGTTAGTTCTTTCGTTTATGCCGACGTTAGCTTTCTGCGGGTCCAAGAACATCTTTCACCAAAATCCCAACGGATTTCCATGTCCCATGGACTTTTTCACCGCTCTTTTGGCTCTTCAATGACTCCCAATGCACTGGGCATGACCCCAATGGTTTGGGTTGACCGTTAGTTCTCTCGTTTATGCCGACGTTGCTTTCTGCGGGTCCAAGAACATCTTGCCCAAAGCTTGGTTCGACATTGAACCACCATCGGGTAACGTATTTTACGCGTTGCTCGAATAGCCGGTGGTCCAAATGTTAACCGTGCTATGGGGGTTTGTTAGAAGGACATCTCCGAGATACGTACCCTAGAACAAACCTCCATAGCACAGTCAACATTTGGACCACCGGCTGTTCGAGTAACGCGTAAAATACGTTACTCGATGGTGGTTCAATGTCGAACCAAGCTTTGGCCAAGGTGTTCTTGGACCCGCAGAAAGCAACGTCGGCATAAACGAAAGAACTAACGGCCAAACCACTGGGGCCATGTCCAGTGCATTGGGAGCTATTGAACAGCCAAAAGAGCGGTGAAAAAGTCCATGTGACATGGAAATCCGTTGGGATTTTGGTGAAGGAAATCAAGTATTTAGTGAATGCCGTGTGGCAGTAAAGGGGGAGGACGTTGCTATGGAGGCAGCAATTTTCAAGATGATGAAAGCAGAGTCCACCGGGGAAGGAGCCGGCAGGGGCAGCAATTTCGAAGGAGAAGGAGCCGGCTACGGGGGCAGAAATTTCCAAGGGGATGGAAGGGAAGATGTCTATGGATATAGAGTCCACCGGGTCCGGGCCGGGGGGAGAAGTATGTGGGTGCCGCAGTTTGAGCGTTTACCCTCCCTCCGGAAGGTGTTAGATCGTATAAGTAGATTTCAATTTCTAGTAATGGTCGGCCTTAGTAATGGGATCCCGTCTTGTTCTGTTATGTAGATCTATTTTGCAGTTGGCCTTTTTTTTTTCTTTGGAGCTGTTATTTATTTTTTTTTTTGTTGAAGCTGTTATCCATTAAACAGGCTCGGCCTTAATTATTAATGGGATCCCGTTTATGTAAATTGTTTTGCAAGTTTCATTTTGCAGTTGGTCATTTTTTTTTTCTTTGCTGCTGTTACTTTTTTTTTTTTTTGGAGTTATCTATTAAACAGTGATACACGGTAAAAATGTCACTTCAAAGTGCAAAGCTATAATAAATTAATAATGATAATAATAACACTTTAAGCAAATGTTGTACATTGTTGAGAACTTTTGTATACTTCAAAAGAAGATTAGCTAAACATAATGCGTACTGTCTGAGGCATAATTTGCTTATTTTGTAGGTGGAATTAATCAGTCAAATAAGTCAAAGCTTAATTAAAAAGACTATGTTAACTTCCATCGGCTCGGCATATTTAGTTTTTATGCGATGCCAAAACATGTACTATGGTCAAACAACTAGGGTTTATCTCGACGTTTCTTGTGTGTTGGCACATGGCAGATATATGGCCGCCCAAAGCGGTGTTCAATTAGATATTAGGGAAAGTTTGATTCATTTTTTATTAATTCAAAATTTCTAATAGAATTTTTAAATTATTAAGAACTAATAAAAGTATGCATAATTGATTGTTACTCTATATTTTTCATATTTCATCTAGTTAATTTTTGTTTCATAAATTTTCTTATAAATAATCCAGTTGTACCCTTAGGGCTTGATTGTTTATGAAATAATTTGTTCAAAATGAGTTATTTTGGTCAACTATAGTTAATTTTGAAAAAAATAGTATAATTACTTGTTAGTTGAATTTTAATAATGTATTAAAATAATATTTAAAACAAAATGATTAAAATTGATTTGATGTAAAAGTAAAAGATAATTGATTGGAAATGATTGGAAATGAGTAGTTAAAAATGGGTGTTGATAAATACCGCACCCAAAATCGATAAATACCGCACCCATTTTTTACACCTTTACCCTTATTAATTAAAAAAAAAAAAATCAAAAG